ATATTGTGATATATTTAAATATTATAAATAATTAAATAAAATTAATAAATTTTTGTCAAGATCAAATAATTCAACATAAACTAAATATATCTAACACCAATTCCTGCCTAGAGAGAGAGAGAGAGAGAGAGCTGCACAAACTTACAATCGTTGATTATTGCTCTCTTCGTAACTATTATGGTTGGATGTATGGCCGGTAACATCCGGTCTGTTAGCAGCCCAAGAGCTCATACCAGGTCTGCCGTGACCGTCGCCGCCACCGCCGACATGATTACCGGTGCTATAAAATGGCATCATTTGCATCGGTGGCGGCGGCGGTGCTGACGGCCGCTGGCGATGATGACCACCGATGGCCGAAGACGGCGACGGACTGGCGATGTTATTGTGACCAATGAAAGAGGGCGGTGACGGCGATGGTGTCCGGCGGTCGGTGCCGCTGGTGGTAGACGAGTCGGTGTCCGCACAGCCCAACAGTCGACAACAGCAGCAGCATATGGCGGACAGACAGCGCCGACAACAGCACCCGTTGTTACGCTGATAGCGAGGGTCGTCCGGATCTGATTACCATTTTGGTGGGGAAGTCGATGGGCCGGATGTGTGGGTGATATTATATATGTTGCGGTTATGTGTGTTGTTTTAGTAGATATTTTGTTTTATTTGTTGATTTGATTATTAATTTTGATAGTTATGTAGACATGGAAATTGAATTTTCAATCTTTAGAGTCAAAAGTAGTAGTATTTGTTTCAAAGTTTTGGTATTTGTTTAGCAAAACATTTGGTTAATTATTCTGTCATTTATTTAGTGTATGTGTTTTGTAAATGGATTTAATTATTTTTTGTGTTAATTTAATTTAATTCTTGATCATTCAATCTTGGTTTTGCCAATACATACCGGTGTGGCCGCGACTGTACACCATAAACAGTATGGGATTTACAAAACAATGGGTTAGCGCCACGTGTAGACTGATCTCGTAGGTTAACGATGTCTCCAGACCTGTGGTGTTCATTATAACGAGTGTTTATTGTATTAATTAATTATTTAATTTGTATATATTTAAATGAAAATTACTACTTAATTATATAGTTATTATTTTATTAAAAATTACATTACATATAATATTACTCATAAAGTACACACACTTATTGTGATATAAGTTATTGTAATTATAACCACCAAGATTTATCGTATGGATTAGTGAAACTACCATAACTATAAATTATGCTAATCCCAATGTGGTCACAAGTAGAATAATCTAAATTAATATACTGTAAAGTATATGGCCCTGTTTATTACTACAATTACTAACACTCCCGCTGAATAAGCATTTTAAAAAGTAAATTATCTCATTAATGGATTAAATAATTGTATTTTTTACGCGTAGGTCATTTACCACACCATTAATTTGTGCCGAATTTAACTATATTGGGGGGAATAGTAATGAATCCAGTTTAAATTACTTTCTGTCTGATTAATCTATTTAAATAATTGTTTTCTCTTATTTTTAAATAGACAACTCAAGTCAATGACTGTTTTTGTTTGCGTTAATTCATTGATTTTTCATACAATCGTTAATACACTGTACTGTACAGTATAGTAGACGGACGACCCTATTATAAATCTATGGGATTAGTGTCTATAGGATTATAAGTCTGCTGTATTGGCCCTGTACTGTATATGGACTCTTAGGCTAGACGTATGGCACTTTGAGATAACATTGTAATAGTTTTAATTATAACTTAAATGTGTCTATGGATTATTTTAACAAGCACATAGAGTACATGTACTGTACAGGTGCCACAATACACAACACTGAAACACTATACAAATATAAACAAAGTACCTGGTTGGGCCAGTGTTATCGTGTAGAGAGGACCCCAAAACAGTAGATACGCCACCAGAATGACCACGAACATTTTCACCCTGCTAACACCTTCGTGCTCCAGGCGCTGAACATATGAGTAAAAATTCCGCTGTTCCTCCTGTTCCCGGTCGCCGGTCTGGACAGTCATCATAGCGGTGACCAAACTGGACACCCGGATCGCCTCCAGGTTACTTTTGACAATGTCCTTGTACAGTTTGCGCAAGTGTACGCCCATGAGGGCCACGCACATTAGATTCACCGAGATCCATAACAGATTGAGCACATAGTGGCGCACCGGGCGGTACA